TGTAACCCTCCAAAGAGAAAGGAAAACTTGAAATCGCATCATATGACCCCTTTAAAAACAAAATCACTTTTTTTTTTTTTAAATAAGCAGAGGTTTTTAATGACTTATGGATATATTCCGGTTGGATATACTGCAGTTCTGTAGATAATTCCTCATTTTAAATCTCACTAGAACTTCAATTTGAATCGTTTTTAATTGTTTGTTAATTTTTAAGATGTTATTTTATATAATTGTTATGTCTTATGTGTTCAGTAAAAACATGTTTTATATGTAAAATGAAATTCTAGCAAATATATATAAATATTCAGGAAATAACTTTCAGCAGTTGGATCTAAAATATAATTTTTACAGTTTCATTTTAATTTGTGTTCCTAATGTGAATTCTGTTTCCCATAATGCTTTTCTACTAGCACTCTTCCCCCATATTAACCCTATAGATGCTATGAACAAAGACGTATGCTTTAGAGCTCAGCGAATCATTTAGGAACTACATTATGAGCTGATATGGCTGAGCTTAGACTAAGGGTTATATTGCTTGAAGGGTGGCCTTATACCATCTGGGCTATTCATAACGTTAAGTGGCCATTCCACTCCATCGTTGGGTTCCGCTTTAAGCATTCATATATCAGTAAAGTAAGTGTGACTTCAAGCCGTGTTGCATTGTACATGGAATTATTACTCTGTGCTCAGCTATTGCTCTTGTGATTGTGCATTATGTTGCAATCATTCAGTGTCGTTGAGTGGTTGAGGTTTTTCTGATGGCCCATCTGGAAAATCAGCTGTTGCTGTTTGACATTTGTCCAAGCCTTTAGTTTCATTTCAGATTATTTTAGTTGAATGAAATGTTGGAAATTAAACATATTAACCCAGACATTTCTTATTAAATAATTGCTACAACAGCCCTATTTATTGGCTCTGTCTCAAAATCTAGTCAGCTGCCTGCCTAGCTTTTTTGTGCATCATTTGCACACTCCTGACACTAAAAAACGTTCAAATAATTTGAAGCGGTATAGCTTGTTTGTTTCATAGATAAGGCAATCCCATAATGTGATGTGACAAGCTTCAAAGAAAAATATTTTTAAATTAAAGTATAAAAAATGTTATTAATGTGTCATAATGAAGCAGCCTTACACTAACTATCAGAAGTTTGGGGTTGGTAAGATCTTTTAATGTTTTTGAAAGAAGTTTCTTATGCTCATAAGGCTGCATTTATTTGATAAAAAAATACAGTAAGTATAGTGTATATAGTTAGTAATATTGTGATTAATTTTATTACCATTTAAAATAAATAAATAAATAAAATGTAGTTCATTCCTGCGATGACAAGCCTGAATTTTTAGCAGTCATTAATGCATTCTTCAGTGTCACATGATCCTTCAGAAGTCATTCTGATATGCTAATTTGGTGCTTAAGAAACATATTTTATCAATATTGAAAACAGTTGTGCTGCTTCATATTTTTGTGGAAACCATGATACATGTTTTTAGGATTCTTTGATGTATAGAAAGTTCAAAAGAGCATTTATTTGAAATATGCATTTTTTCTAAAATTATATATGGCTTTACTGTATGTGCTGAAAAAAGTATTAAAAAAATTACTGACCCCAAACATTTGAAAAGTAACGTATATCATTAAAATGTTTTGGCTGTCTGTGTGCATTATACTCAACTTAGCTCAAATTAGCTTAATCACATGCCAACATCAGAATCAGAATTTGAGTGCCATGTTAGTGGCTTTTTTATTAAGTTTCTGCCTTTAAATTGCATCTCAGATCAGTCAGATCCACTCACAAGCTTCCATTTTGTTTGTAATAAGATTTATATAGATAATTCCATATATAGGCATTAGACAGAAATTAGCTAACTAGATTGTGAGACGGCATTTAACTTATCACACAGTGCACATATGCAGAGGATTTTCTCATTGCAAAGTGAAATCTGTATTTATACAAGTCAAATGAAAGGCTAGAAAACAGATGAGTGTGTCAAAGAGTATGAAGGGAAGAAAATTTGTGATTTTAAAGGGACCATCTTACACACCTTTGTTTTTTGTAATTTGCTTTTTTTCCATGCAAAAATCATGCGGCCTATTTGTTAATGTAAGTGACCCAAACTCAATGGTTTGCTATCTTGTTTAACCAAAGAAGAGCCAAGAGCTATTCAAGATATGAGTTGGTTCTGTTTTACATGTTATTGTAGTGATCTAGATATATTTATGTTAGTCATTTGAATAGGTTTAGAAAATATTGTAGCATTTTACATGTGAATGTAAAGTATTGTGTGTAGAATCTTTGTCTTAGAATAAATTCCACAGAATAGAATTCTAAATCTAAAACTAATTGCGCGTGTATATGCATGTAAATATTCTCGAGTCCTTACTAATTGTTCTTCCTCTCACCCTTTCTCCTCTCCCATCCCAGGAGGTGAACTTGTGTTGCCTATAATTACTGTGGACACCCAAGACCCCCTTCCCATAGTCACCCGTTACCCCACCATCCCTGCCCCCCCCACATCCCTGACCCCTCTCCAAACCACCAAAGAGTCCCTCGTTCTGTCCGACCTCCGCCCGCCATGCCCTCCGGACCAGGAGGACTGCGGCGACCCCATGGAGGTATCGGCCTTCGGCTCTGGAGAAATGACGGAGTCCGATGACGAGGACTTTTACAAAAACTCCCCCATGGTCACAGACAGGACGGTCCTACCGCCGCCCCCTGCCGTGGGCAAGAGCGGAGGCCAGAGCCCAGGTGACCACCGTCCTCCAGTCCCCAGCCCCACCACACACCCCAACCAGCTCCACATCCCCGCAGGCAAAATGAATACCCGTGACCAGGTGCTCCTACCGCCCGCCCCGTCCTCCCGTCACACTCCAGCGTTAACCTACCCACCTGGTTTCCCCCATGTGCCCACAGCTCACCCCACCGACCTGATGGAGAAGGGCCACCCGGGCGCTGTGGAGGTAATCAGGGAGTCCAGCAGCACCACAGGCATGGTGGTCGGCATCGTGGCAGCTGCTGCCCTCTGCATCCTCATCCTCCTTTACGCCATGTACAAGTACCGCAACCGGGACGAAGGTTCTTATCAGGTGGACCAGAACCGCAATTCAGGATCCGAAAGCAACGGCGCCGTGGTCAAAGAGAAGACGCCGAGCACAACCTCCGCCGTCGCAAAGACGACCGCCAAGGGCAAGAAAAATAAAGACAAGGAGTATTACGTCTGAGAGAGACAGAGGAGGAGGTTCACAGACAGGAAGTGTGCTGAGGATTTTAAAACTTCAAATCACCTCCTCTGCATCCTCAAACATTTAAGCCACACGATCTTCTGTTTACTTCTCCAAACGTTTTTCTGCCAACCGAAAGATACGGACGTAGGGAATGAGGAGGAAGGAACACTGACCGATAGATCCTCCTTTCGTTTCTGTCTTGCGAAGCCATTGTTGTATGTAATTTTATCTCTATCATGTCTAAAGAAAATCTTCCATTACATTCCAAATGATGTAATGCCCTCTTTGCGATTAAAAATTTATGTTTTGCGGGCCTCCATGGGAGAGTAACCAACACCATGGACAGGGAGAGAAAACCCGCCGGTTTAACAGATGTATCCACACACGAGCTTTTGGTGCTATTCCTGAACGTTTGTTTAATATTATCTTCACAGAGCTATGAAATTGAGATCTTCTACGAGGCGGTCGTTGGCCCTCATTGTAATCATTCATGAAGAACAGAAGCGATTCTGTTAGTTATTTGCACGAGACAAGCAGATGCTCCCATCAGTTCTTGTGGAGATGTTAAATCTGACACCTTTTTCGTGTTCGGTTGGAAAGGCGGTGGATAGTATCACATTTTCTGTTTCATTCTCTGACTGAGCCTGAAAAACCCGGAGAGTCTGAATTCGTTTACACTCTGGTATCTTTTGTCAGTGTAGAAATTAGGATTTATCTGTCTCTGCCATGAAACACATTATTCTAATTCTTTCTTTGTTGTTTATCCGCCATGGTTTCATAAACACGTTCTCGCTTAGAATCGCAGATCAGACGGTGAAGCCTGCTTTGACAGCAACACCTCCACTAGCAGCTCAGAAGGTTGTTAGAACTTTAAAAAGCCAACGAAAGGCATTCAGCAGGCATCTCTCTCGCTCTCTCTCTCTCTCTCTCTCTCTCTCTCTCTCTCCATGGTGCCGAAACATTGTGATCTGTTAGTTAGGCTACTAATTGTGTTCCATGCATGATGCATTCACATTCAGCTTTCCATGAGAGTTTTTTGATATGAATTACATAAAGTTGATAACTCTCGTCTCACCCGGAGGGATTCATAGCACCATGGGCGAGCACGACGCGGACAAAAGAGACCTCAGAAAGTGGGACTGTCCTGAACTGAACATCAGCTTGGACGAAAGATGTTGTATCTATGTAAATACAGGAAATTGCTGAAAACGCTTCAGGAGACAGGTTTGTGTGTATCGAGCATACGGTACGTTTGCGTGTGTGTGCTTGTGTGTGTGTGTGTGTGAGTGTTTTCCTCGTTCGTCCTCCGGCATGAGAAAGATATACACAAGACTACGAGAACCCTTTCTCTTGCCTCCTGTATTCTCTATGGTGTGAAACTACAGCCCAATACCCATCCGAATGAGACTACAGACAGTGAAACAAACAGGATAAAGAGAACGGAGGCGAAATCATATTTTCAGAACTGTGTGGCATCTCTTCTAGGAGGGGAAAAAAGGAACCCGTTCTCATCGGGATGCCAGCTCACCACCTCCCAAACCTAAGAAAGTGAAAAGAAGCGAACTGACAAGGCTTTTATGGATAAAGCAGCACAACCTTGTGTCCAGACTTTTGTATCTAATGACACCTCCTGGAAAGGAGGAAAAAAGGAAGAAAAAAAACTGTATACCATCTAGATATTTCTCACACTTGAAAATATGTTTTTCCTGAATTGACATTCCTTGTTATTACAAAGAGGTTTTTGTTTAGTCCTTTCTCTGCAAATGAAAAACAAAATGTTATTCACAATAGATATTACTTCAGTAACACGAAGTGATTTTCAAATGTGAAATTATGGGGAAAAAAATAATAATAATAATGTTTTGGGATTTTATTGAATTTGGTAAAAGATGAAGCATTACACCTAGCCATACCTCCATTTTACATTTGGGTTTTTTGTTACGTCATTGACAGGGCTTTTTTCTGTTTGTGTTTTTGTTTTGCTTGTTCTTTTAAGATATAATTGTCATTTACCTATGCTGGTCAAAGTATATTCCCGTTCTTAATGTAATTGTAAAGTGTTACTGTGAGATGAAATCTAAATATGTGTACATTGACAGAGGGAAAAATACACTTGGTTCTATACTTCGTACTGATTTGGTCAGTGTGGTCTCTTTTATTTCTACAAATATTTGTCTTAAAGGGATTGACACTATCGTTCAAAAGTTTGGGATCTTTTAAACTTTCTTTTCATCAAAGAATCCTGAAAAATGTATTACAGATTCCACAAAGATATTAAGAGGCGCATCTGTTTTCAACATAATAACGAGAAGAAATGTTTTCTGAGATTTGAATGATTTCTGAAGGATCATGTGACACTGAAGACTGGAGAAAGGTTCAGCTTTGCCATCATATGAAAAAAATATTTTAAAATATATTAAAATAGAAAACTGTTATTTTAAATTGTAATAATATTTCACAATATAACAGTTTTTATTGTATTTTCAATCAAATAAATGTAGCTTTAATGAGAGACTTCTCTCGAAAACATAATATAAAAAAAATCAACAAAATATATATATATATTATCAACCCCAAACTTTTGAATGGTAGTGTGTCACCCAAAAATGAAAATGTTATTAGTATTGTTGTTCTAAACCTGTATGACCTTTCATGGGAGAAAATATTTCTTTTTTTTATGTTTCATAGTAAGAAAGTCCTACGGGTTTGGAGCAACATGAAGGTGAGTAATTGATGATAGAGTCTCTTTAAGACGTCCATGTTGTGAAATCTCCACTTTATTTATTGTTGTCGGAAGTTTGAGACTTTCATTTTTAATATTGAACATAAAAGTTTTCATCTTAGACTACTGGTAATTCGAAAACCATTATTTCCCAGTGTCTTTCCTGCCTGAAAATCAAGTTTTATCCACTGTAAGAACTCTCACGCTGTGAAGTCAAGCCCCTTGTCTTACATGGCAATTTCATCATCTGGTCTTATATATTGATGGGTTCCTACTCCAGAAGACTCCACATACTGCTAATACAAAGATGTCTTTAGATTCCTCTGCTGTCACACTGCTCAGATCTAGGTAGTCGGGTCTCTAAACAACACTCTTCCTTTATGGTCTTGAAGGGAAAGAGGCTCCCACATTTTCTTTCTCCTTGTTCTGCACCCACTCTATATTATGTTCTTGAGGTCCTTGTTCCTAACTAACTATACACAGTACAGATGGAGCTATTTAAAGGCTAGAGCTAAAAGCATGCTTATGGAGAGCAGTTTCCTGGAATAAGAGGCAACTTGAATTTGGAAAAGATTCAGGCCGATAAGGCTATATCTAGAATGAGCCTTTCAAAAGCTGTGTAGTGTTGATTGCTTTCAAATGATAAAAGCTGTCCATGACACACTTCTGTTTTCATCATTATTCTGGGTCTATTGTAAATCTACAGTGGAGAATATTGCATTTGGTCAGTATGCACAGAATACACTTAAGTATAGCATTTAGTTAAATGGGTGTTTTCATTTAGTCAGTGGCTGTGGTTTCAATTATATTGCAGATGCAAAACTAAAGTACCAAGTGCGCCTTCTGTAAAATGGTAGATTACATGCAAATCACAAGGATAAAGCTAAATGGAATGCTTAAGTTTACTTATGTAGTATGTACGTGTTTTGTGTTGTCAGAGAATAACCCAATATTACTACAGACAATTGTTTATATGCAATATAAAAATGTATATAAAATTATGTTTATATATTTAAATACAATGCATTTTATATATACAACATCACCACGATAGATAGATACCACGATAGATAGATAGATAGATAGATAGATAGATAGATAGATAGATAGAATTAGTGAATATAAATGAAGTGAACTGCAAAACTGTATTATTAGGCTGTATTAGCAGGAGTTTGATAGATATTGATTCAACATTCAGGTTCATGGTCTCCAAAGATAAGACCCAACGAGCATCAAGACAGCCTTAAGGCATGTATGGATCAATAGTGGGAAAGAATTAGTGCTTTTCAAACAAGACACAAGCTTTGAAACTGAAAGCAAGGCAGGGTTTATCACTTATTGCTGCAGTTACGTTTCAAACTGTGATTCCCAACTTCTGGCATCTTCCAAACAAAAAAAAAACCCACATTAAGAAAAAGACAAAGAAGAAAAGACGAAGAAAACCTGTCAGCATATTCTGATGCCATTCTACTCCACATCTTTCCGAACTCTGAGCTCTGGATTTGTGATTTGATGAATAATTTAGTACATTCTTCCCATTTTCCTTTAAAGTAGAATTAACTCAAATTTTCACTTCTGCTAGTGCACCTGTCCTGCCAGAGGAAATGCATTGAGTACAAAAAAAAAACACTTCCCAAATGTCACTGAAATGATACTGTTTGATAAGTAAGCAAGATTTTAAACTTTCTTTTGTTGTATCTGCTAAGACGACTGTCATTTTATGCTCAGACAAAAAAAAAGAGTTGTCTGTAGCGGTAGCGAGACGAAGACCTAACAGACAGTGAGCAGTAGGCTAATGGGCAGTTGTGATGCCACTGGAATGAGAATGAAGCATCAACAGAAGGGCTTTGCATTAAAAAAAAACTGCAGTGAAGCATGAGACTGCCATCTGCTGTCTAAATCCTCTCATTCATCAATCTACATTTTAAAGAAAGAGTTTTACATTTTATACAAGTAAATATGAATGAAATAATAAAATGATATTCCCTGTGACTTATTTAAAAATGAAATCCTGGCAGTGACTCCTCAGCACATTTCAAAACCATCAGCTCATCATTAGCTTGCTGATGATGATGAAAAGCCTTGAAAATGTCATGAGTGGAAACGCCATTGATCAACTTTGACAGTCCAGTGTTAAATGTAGGGTGAAATATGCAAAAGTGGGATGTTTTTTGGTAGATTTGTGATGAATAAAAGTTTTATACTCTCAGCATTTTTGTTATGCTAATATTTTACGATAATGATAGACAGAGTAGGGTAGTAACTGATTACATGCAATCTGAATTACGTAATCAGATTCCAAAAATTAAGTACTTGTAATTAGATTAAATGACATTTTAAAATGCCTGTAATAAGACTACAGTTACTTTATTCATTAAATTATTATATATTATTCACACAATAGCAATAAATTATTCATAATTTATTGATTCTCCCTAATTCTTCATTTCCATCTTTTAAGGTTTCCTTTCTAAAATTGCCTTATATACATTCAGAAAGAATGTATATAAATGTAAAAAATACATTTTTTTTGTAGACATTCACACAGAGACCAGTCACTAGCTGGCTATAATTTCAAAGAAAATTGAGAGGCCACACAGCATTTTACCACTGGGTTTACAAAAATCATTTCAATTTTAAGAAGTGTTTTCTCAACATTTCAAACACATTAAAATACACAAATTCAAGTAATTTCTTTTTAATGCAGGGATTCCCAAACTTTTTGTCAGCCGAACATCTTTAACCTAATATATTTACTTGAAATACCCCAGAGATTTTAAAATAAATATTTCATTATTAAGTATCACATTTGCATGTTCACTGTTCTCTGACATTGGTTAATGGTCACATGACATGTAGGTAAACAAATAAATAATTTTATTTTTTAGTAAGTGTTTTATTTGAATTGTTATTTATAAGTTTGGGGAAACCTTGATGTAATGTAATGTTTAATGCACTTCATGTTGTTAATAACAATGAATATATTTTCTTTCCCTTTGTATTTTTTTATCAATATGGTACACGATTATCCTATTTAAATAAATGTGATAAACAAGCTAGGTCAAAAGTAATCTAAAAGTAATCAAAAAGTAGTCTGATTATATTACCTAAAATGTGTAATGTAATGGATTACGTTACTAACTACAATTTCTGTCATGTAATTTGGAATCAATTTAAGTAATACAAAAATCTTTAGAGCAGTTGTGATAAAGTGATACAAGTTGGTCCATGCTGCAACACCATTTCATATCAGCTTAAGGCAGGTTACGCTGGTTTTTGGAACCTGCAACAACTGGTTTGAGCTGGAACCCGGTTAAGGTGGTTTTCCAGCATTTACCACTTTGACTGAGGTCTACTAGGTCAGTATTAGTATCATCACATTGCTATTGCTTTTAACTTTATTGTTTTAACTATTGTGTTAATATTGAAAACATACAGTTCTTGAAACTTCTGGAATATTAAAATGAACTGTTATTAATTAATCTACCTATATCTTGACACTCCTAGTTCCTGATTATAATACCAACATAAATTACTCAATTAAATTTACTGTAAGAAAATTATTATTTTAAACTGAACTGCATTGATGAACGTAGAACTGAAAGATTGGCTACGTGACCAATGTCAACAAGAAAGTTCAAAGTGAAGACGCTCTGGACTGTCATGTGGATTGATTAATCAAATCAGTTCTGCACTGGATGACAGACACCTGCTGCAGCCAATCGCATTGAAGCATTCTTTCTGTTCCTGGATGTGGGTGTTAACCACAGTAGCCAATCGCCTTGCGGCATGAGTTCTCTTCCTGTAGGTGGGTGTTTGCTACCTGTGTGAATGAAGCGATTTGACACTGGAACTTAGCGAGCTCACATTCTGGGCTTTTTTCGCTGGAGTTTTTACATGGCGGCCCCGGACTTAACGAGGAAATGGCTGCTGTGGTGACCGCGTAGAGATATTTTACGTTCTGTGTTTGTTTTTGTATTCTAATTTTCGACATAAGGAGGAAGCACTCAGTGCTGCCGTTAGCCTATGCTAACTCGCGTTCAGTTTCGCTGTCCTGCGGTTTTCCTGCTCTCGTTTCTGGAGGAATTAACGCAGACCCAGTCGAGTCAAACCATGGAGTGTTGACGGAGTTGAAGAGTGCACTAACATCAGAAAATTGCGCTACAAAACACTTATGCAAGGTGTCTCACTACTGCTTGTAGCATGTTAGCGGTTTGGCTAGTGAGTGTCAGGTGATATTGAACTCTGAGAGGAGAGATATCCTTCGAATTCGGTCGAGAAACTGAGAAAATAGATTAAATGTAATATTTGCGTCCCTTCTGATTGGTTTTATGTCTAACATGTTGATTCAATCTGAAATTGAGTCGTTCAGCTGTCAGCGTTAGCGCTGTTGC